CCCCCCCGGGGATCCCACTTCAGATGGCCAGCCGACGTGGCTGGGGGTTGCAAGGCAGGTCCTCGTCTTGCAAGATCCTTGAAGTAAAAGCCACTAAGCTGTCCCCTCCCCCCCGTGTGCTTGCAGATGAAGCTTGGGGGGCTCTGAGCCAACCGAGGCCTCCCCCTCTCCGTCTGCAGCTGGCACACAAAGGAGCCCATGTGCTCACCTGTGGAAGGTGTGGTTTCCCACGGCCCTTTAGGTGAAGGGGACTCCAGTGGGGGCGCTGAGAAGGCGGCTTGGGCTGTTTCAGGTGGAGAGGGGCCTCTTCCCAGGGGCTCCAAGCCGCCTTTGGGGCTGCCAGGCTGAGACGCCTCCCTGGCTGAGCAGCTGCTCCTCTTCTCTCCTCCCTTCCCTTTGGCCGGGTCCCACTTCAAGGGGTCCTCCTTGCGTTGTACGTGCCACGGATGTTGCAGGGGGACAATGTTCTTCTCCTCAGGACAAGATATCCCAGCTGCAGCTGGAGCTGGAAGAAGAACGGAACAATTCCGATATCCTGTCTGGGAGGATTGGCAGGGACAGAGAACAGGTAGGCCTTTGCTTCGCTCAGGGGGCGGGTGCAAGATTGGGGAAGGAAGGAGCAGGAAGCCCCAGCTGGGCCTGATCTGCCTCCAGCGGCCGCCTCAGGAGCAGCCCTGGGAAGCAGGCTTGGCCCTCCCCACAATCAGGGCCTTCGTGCGCGCACACACACACACCCCCAGCAGCCAGCCCAGGTGGGTTCCTGGAGGTGGTCCGGCCCATGCAGTGGCCCTTGTGGCTTCAGATGGCCCCTTTCTCTCCCCCCCAAAGCCTGTGTGAGACCAGCAGGGACCTTCTCTTCCTGGCAGAGGCTTCCTTTGGAGGCTGGAAACACCATAAACCTCAGCTGACTAACCGGCCGATGGCCTCCATTAGGCAAAATACGCCTGTCTTTTCGAGGCTCCGGCCCTCCCAATTTCCTACACACGGGACAAAGCCTGGCTTGTCCTCGGTCCGGCCTTGGATGCAGGGCTTCCTGAAGGCTCATCACAGTGGAATAATAGCTCTGTTATTGGTCACTGTCACTGCTGAATAAGCTGCCAACCAGCCGGGAACAAGGAGGGCGGCCCAGCCCAGCTTTCCTCAGGGCCTGGATGGGCTGCTGCAGGGAAGGGAGCCCAAGGCTCGTCCCATCTCACGTAACTGCAGATGTTGCCACAGGTGCAGCCTGGCTTAGGCTGCCTCTCTTGCCTTCCCAAGTGCCATTTTACCGCCTGGGTCCTCGGCCTGGACTGCAGGTGGCCATGTTTCTTCCCTGGTTCGATTGACTATTCGCTTACTGTGGCTGTTTCTGCCCTCTCTCCTCTCTCTCTTCCTCTTCCATTGCAGATGGAGCAAATGAGGAGCAAACTCCTTCAGGAAAGGACAGCCAGGCAAGAACTGGAGGGCGACAAGACCACCCTGGAAAGGCAGGTCAGAAGGCAGCCTGATCTTTGCTTTGCTCTGCCCTGAGACTGCAACACCCTTCCAGCCCCAGCCCTGAGCCTCGCCCAGCACCCTCCGTGTCCACGGCCAGCCTTGTCCTGAGTCCCCTGCCCTGGACCCCAGCCCCAGAGTCCAGCACGCTGAGGGTTTCCCTGAGGTTTGTGCCCAGGCGGGCCGCCTGCACCCCAGCACCCACCCCTTCCTCCTCCAAGCCTTCGGGCTCCCTTTGGCCTTCCCGAGGACGAATCTCTGGGCGCCGCTTCATGGTCCCAGCAACGTCCCAAGACTGCCCGGGCAGCCGCTGCCCATGGAGGGAGCCGGCCTGGGTGCTGCTTCCCCTCCCTTCTGGGGCAGCCGCTCCTCCTCCGGGCTGAACTGGAAAGGCGGCTCCTCTGTCCTCCGACCACGTCTCACAGCTTGGGGCAAGGGTCCTTGCTTGGGGCTGGCCGGTTTTCCGGCCTCCTGGTCTGCCAGGTGCCTCTGCTGACAGACAGGGGCGATTCCTCCTCCAGAACAAAGAGCTGAGAGGCCAGATCCTGCACCTGGAAGCCTCTCACAAGCCCAGCAAGGAAGGCCTTGTGGCCCAGGTGGAAGCCCGCCTCCTGGAGCTGGAGGAGCAGCTGGAGAGTGAGGAGAGGTACGAGGAGGCCCCTCCCAATGAACCCCCGGGGCTCTCCCCCCCACCCCCCCGGCTTGGAATCCAGCCCTGCCGCTTTGCTCCGTGGATGACTCCGGGATTCTTGCCCACAGACGGGAGGCTGATGCTGGGGTTTCCTTGCCCCCCCCCTTCCAGGAAATAGCTTCATTAGCCAAACAGAGCTTTAGGAATGGGCCCATTAAATAAGACCAAGTTAAATTGAAAAAAATAACCAGCAGTGCTCTGGAGGGAGACAGGTGGAAGTGAGAAAGGCCATTTGGAGGGCCTGTCGCTGCACCCATCAGCCCCTGTTCAGTCACAGCATCTTTCCCCAAAGCCCAGGCCAGGAGGGGGCCGGGTGAGCGAGGCGGTATGGAAACATGAGCCCCTCCCCACCCTTCCCTTCCCATCCAGCTTGGCTGCAAACACCACCACCACCCCCCATGCTGAGGCCCCAGTGTCCAAAGAGGGCTAGCGGCCATTTGGGGGGGGGAGGCCGGGATGAGGAGAGCCGGGAAGCACCTGGGGGGCCAGAGGGGTCTTCACCTGGTGCCCCTTCCTAGGGACCGAGCTCACCTCCAGTTGAGCAACCGCCGACTGGAGAGGACTGTGAAGGAGCTCCTGATGCAGGTGGACGATGAACACCTCTCCTTGACTGACCAGAAGGACCAGGTAAGCAGGGAAGGGCCCCGGGGGACACATCGCTTCTTAGGGGCCTCAGGGAGCCTCTGCCTGATCCCAGGAGGGCCCTCTCCTCACTCCACAGCTCAGCCTGCGCCTGAAGGCCATGAAGCGGCAGGTGGAGGAAGCAGAGGAAGAAATAGACAGGCTGGAGAACACCAAGAAGAAGCTTCAGAGGGAGCTGGAAGACCAAGTGGACCTCAACGACCAGCTGCAAGGACAACTGACCACCATCCGGCAGGACCTCAGGTGGGAAAGGGGGCCCGGTCAGCCCTGGGCAGCCTCGAGAGCTGCCAGCTGACCCCTGCTCCCTTCTTCTCCGCCTTCCTCTCCTGAAGAGTGTGTTGCCTTGGCAGCCGGCCTCCCCTTGAGCCCCTCGGCCTGGATTCTCCCAACACGCAGGCCAGTTTGCACTTGAGTGCCCAGAAATGGGGCTGGGCTGCCAGGACCGTCTTCTTCCCTAGGAGAAACTACACCTGCCCCACAGCAGGTGTGCTCTGCGGGTCCTTGAAAGACGCCGCACCCTTTGGCTGCAACCGCTTTGCCAATTAGACCAAACTCCACGCGTGGCCCAGAAGGTCGCAGGCCGTGTCTCAGTCGTGGGGGGGGGACTTTTCCTTCCGCAGACGCCAGAAGACTTCCAGTAAGCTGCTGAGCGACTTTGACTATGAGGACGATGAGGACTTCAGCACTGATGGGGAGAGCCTTCTCGATGCCCCCTTGGGGTTGAAGTCCTTCAAGCACAGCGACGGCCAAGCCAGGAAGGATGCCAACCAGCCTTAATGGCCGGGACTCAAGGCTCCGCGGAATCCAGGCACCACCGGCTGCAGGAATCGTAGCGTCAGGTGACCGTGGCTCCTTTTTCTTAAATGTGCCTAAATGTTCAGGTGTATTTCAGAAAGAAACTCTTGTGAACGAAAAGGCCTTCCAGTTCACACCTTCAGGGAGGCTTCCAGCTCTGAGCACCTGGCTGGCCCCAGACTGCCCCCAACTGGGGGTCTTTCCCTTGGAAGCTGTTTCAGAGGAGGGGAGGGAGGGTGTTTGTTACTAGAGCAGAGGAAGGAATATACAGAGCGGGAGGTGAGAATGTACATATTTTTGAATCATGATTTTTTGCAACTCTTGCAACGTTTTTGTGTAGTTCCATGCTTCTGTAGTGCATATCAACAGTGCATAAGCCTTAAAACCCTGTTGCAGTAAACTCCATTTGTTCAGCAAACGTGTTTATGAGCTGAAGGAGAGCAGCGTGGCCTTGGGAAGGTGGAAAAAACAGGACACCAGGAGCCATTTCCGCTCAGAAAAACTGTTCCCTGTTCCCCGTCTCGGCTTCCTTGCTCTGGCTTCCAGGGATCAAGTCGATGGGAGACGGCTGGCTCCTGGTCTTGCCACCCTTCAGGAAAGAGACTTTTGCTCCGACCTGGGGCAGCCCCGGGTGCAGAGGAGAAGCGGGGCTGGCCTGGCCTGCTGGAGCCACGGCTGCCTTTGGGTTTGGAGCTGGAACAGCTGCTTGGCTCTTCCTGGATGGCAATAACTGCTCCTCTGGTGGGTTATAAAGGGCTGAGAAGCACACCAGAAAAAGCATTTCTGTTTTCTTGTCCTCCAGTTTTGATGGTAGCTGCCTGTAAGTGGCATTTGAATGCCCTCGAAGAACTTGCGAGTGTTTGCAAACGTTTCTATTATGATCTGCATTTTTATCTTTCCACCAAATCTTTGCTCTGTTAGGACAACCTTTAATGAGGAAATAATAGTATTACCAGCCCTGGGCAACTGTTCTTTTCTACCACTTTGTCAAAGCGTTCAATTTGAAACTGGTTAGCCTCCAATGTCTTTTTTTAGAGTCCACATTGAGGATGTTAAATTCCAGCATAAACAAATCCTGGAAGCTGCACAGTCCCTTGAGAGAGGGAAAGTAATGCTCCCGAAAAGCTCTGGCATCTGGCCTCTGTGGGTTTGCGAGTGGAACCTTAAGGAGGGTCTGCTTTGACTCCACAACATCCTTTGGGCTTTAGAGCCAATTCACTCCATGGGACACGCCAGGATCGGGCTTCCCTCCCACCCACAAATCCCAAGGGCCGCATAGTAGGAGCAGAGACCATAGACTGAGGAAGGGAACGGGAGGAGGGAAGCCGAGGATTCGGATTTGGGCTTTGTGAGCATGTCTGCACGTGCGTGTGCCTCAAGTGCAGAGGCAGGACGTCATCATGTCCAGCTGACCTGTTCATGGAAGGAGGGCCGCTGGTCTTGGTGGCAGTTGACTGCTGCTGTCTCTGGTGGCCACGTGGCTCTTTCTGTTGCCGTGAGAGTTGAAAAAAGCAAAGTTCTGCTAGCTTGCTGAGCCAAGAAGAAGCGGCTTTTTCCTTGGCAGAAGACCCAGGTGGAGCCCCTGGCCAGCCTGCTTGCTGGTTCAGTCCCGCCATCTCAGGTGGGGAAGGAGAACCCTTGTGGAAGAGGAGGTGGCAGGTGGAGCGACCGAGCACCTTCTGCTCCCACAGGGAAGGGGCCTTGTTCCAATTTCATAGAATTCTGTTAGTGGGAGCCACAAAAGATCACAGAAGATAACCTGAAAGATTGGAACTTCTTGACAGACGGTTTCTGATCATAGCAGATAAAGCAGGACAGATCTTGAAACCAGATAGTGCTTTTTTTGCTCCAGTTCTTCATGAATGAGATCGTGAAGTAATTTGTCCAAATTGTTCAGGTAACTTTAGAGCACGGGTGCCAAACATGCAGCATCACGTTTCCGTCACATCATGTATGGTGATGTTTTTCCCCTTTGCGGAGCTGGGGTGACGCATCCAGCCTGTAGGCCGCCCGTTTGACATGCCTGCTTTAGAGCTTGTGTCCTGCCAAGAGAGATAAGGAGCCGATTGACTCCTTGATGTCATGATCTGAAAATATGTGTCAAAACGTATTGTAAAGCATTTGTATCCACTGATAGGTAATGGGGAAATATTTGCCCTGAGATGTACTTGATTTTCAACAGATTTATTCTCAGGAAGTTTGCAGCTAATCTGAATGAGATGCATTTTCTTTATCTGTCAATAGCTTTTAAAAACAAGGAAGAAATGACCTGGAAATGTGCTGTGTTGACAATCAGTTCAAACTCTTGTATTTTTTCTTCTGATACTAAAATGCCACCTTTATTTTAATACTATTCTTTACAACTCTCTTCTTGGATCGTGTCTGAGCAAGCTGAAGACAAAAATCTGTTGGGAAACAAATTTACTTTTAATTTCAAGGGCTTTTTACTGGAAAAACGTCCAGTATAAACTGAGACTGAGACTGTAAAGAATTTGGAGAAAAACCAAGGAATTTTTGCAGCTACCTCCAGACATGCTAAACCATAAAACTCTAGTTATTTTGAAATAAATGGTAAATCTTTCTGCCTTGGTGTTGTCGTGTGCAATTCTGTTGTGCAACATTAATGTACAAGGGTCCAAAAATACCCTGTTATTTCCACCAATTAGCTTGAGGAGTTGAAAAAAAAGGCAAATAATCCTCAGATGTTTCCTGTTTCCATTTGTTGGTAAGTTTCCCATCAGGTTATGGCTTGTGTGATGATGTCCCAGGAATGTTGCTGTTGATCTCAGGAAGGGGGAGGGGGGGAATCGGGGCCATGAGTCCCTTCCCTCCGGAGGAGGACAAGAGAAAAACTGCTTGTGCCCAGCTCAGTAGCCAAACAGCTTCCTCTCTACATCCCCTATCCTCAACACACTGTATTTCAAGTTGTCTGCTCCAGCAGAGAGGCAAACGGAAGTCCCTCCAATTGTCCCCCCACCCCCAGCAGGTCTTAACTGGAGGCTTCTCTAGCGCTGTATGAGATGGGCAGATGATCAAACTAAAACCTATCAGAAACCCTGGCTCAGATCAACATTCTGCACATTTCCAAAGCATTGATGTGGGATCTCATTAAAAGATGGGTTATGCATCATGCTACAGAACTTAAATTACAGAATTATTCCTCCTCCTAAAATAATTTGCTTCCTGTTAGTGAGTTCCTGAGTCACTTGACCTCAGCCTAAACACATTCTCCACGCTGGCCTACTTCCATAGTTTTGGAGGACGTCCATTCATAAGGTTCTAAAGTGATGGTGTGCATACAGGTGCCCAAGGCGAACAGTTGGTGCCACTTAATCAGCTGTCAGTAGGTTCCAAGCAAGATAAACAGGACATCAGCCCCGAGAGCAGAGGCCTCCCAGCAGGGGGTCTGGAAAGGAAATGGGCGGTGGGAGAAACACCCTAGCAGGAGCAGAAGGGTAGGAGGGCAATCTAAACAGGGGCTCTTGAACAGAAGTCTCAGCTAGAGGGTTAAGAAACATCTTTTTCCCCTCAGGTACTTCAATATTTAATCCTGTCTGTGGACCATCTGTGATGGTCTCTGAGCTTGGCTCTTTGCTTGCAGACGTCTCGTTACCCAACTAGGTACCGTAACTTCATCAGTGCAAGGGAAGGTGGGATTTGCTCCCAGTATGTTCCCTAGTTGGTTAACGAAAGGTCTGCAAGCAAACCATCAAGCCAGGAGAGCACAAAGGGCACCAATCTGGAGCTATGGAGATTCTCTTCTATTAACTCCTTCATTTATACAACTAACTTGGTGGGTGAAGCAAGAATTAAAAGGTCAGACTCTCTCCAACCTTTGAATAATCATTGAAAAATCAGGATATTACTCTACAAACAAAACAAATACTTGCAATATCAGATCCATGGCGAGGCCATTATGCAGCCCTAATTAGTGTCAGGGCTACATATATGATTGAAGGCAGAGCTGCAATTAAAGTCAGATTGGCTAAATTATTATAGGCTTCGACAGGGCCTAAGTACTTATTAAGTAGGTTAAATATTGTAAGTAAGACTAGGAGTACACAAAGAGAATACACAACGGCTGCCAAGTCTCCCAACTTACCCAATTCCAATGGCCGATAGGATGACCCAACGTGAAGAATTGACCATTCCCAAGATGGGGCCCTCCGGCTCCAGCTCCATACCGTCCCTTTGGGGGGAGAAGGGAGTTGCCTCTCTGCTTCTGGGCTCCTTGGCCCCGAGCGGCTAAGGCAGGCCAGTCCCACGTAGTACCCGGGTGCCTATAGGAGGAGTGGATGAGGACTGCTGCGTAAATGACACCATCCTTTTTACCATGATGTTAATTTTTATGGTTCCTTTTTGTTTGCCAAAAGGGGGTTGTGTTTGACTGTTGGGATTGTCTGCGCATTCCTGAGGGCTCAAGAGCGCCCTTGTTGGGTGTGCAGAGAAGCCACGTGGAGCCGCCAAGGTCCCGAACCACGACACCAGAACAAACAAAAGCCAGGGAGGGAGGAGCCGACTCCGGAGGAGAGGTGCTGATTCAGGGGCCGATGCGATGTGTCATGCCATGCAAGACCTTGCTGCTGGTCATGGCTCCTGGGCCCTGCCGGCTCTTGCCATTTCTTCTGGTTCCTCAACAGGAAAGCCTTTGGGTGGACAGGCAGGAGAGAATAAAGCCACTGGGATTGGCAGCCACTGAAGGCTGCTGTTCACCAGGGACTGTGTCCTTGGGTGTGTCACGTTTGTGTCATTCTGGCTTAATTGCTCAACTGACATTGTAAGGGTGAATTCTAACCCTGATGCAGCAACCTTGTTATACCTGTATTGCCTTTTGCTGAAGGAGGCCAGCAGGTTTCCCCCCTCGGCTGCCATGTGCAATGAGCCCGCTTGTTTGAGGAAATGTTGACTAAGACAAGGGCACCATTTCCAGGAGCATCTTCTCAGCCCGGAAGAAGATTTGCCTCACACCGAGAGCATAAACATCTCTACTGAGGGTGGAGTGAGGCGGGGCCTTGGGGGTTCTCTGGCCTTGCTTGTTTTGTGTGGAGAGGTTTCAGGGCCCAAACCAGGCAGCGTCCCCAGTGCTAGTCAGGGGCGCCGTTTGTATGCGGGTGGGGTGGCTTCCCTGTCAGCCTCGGGGGTTGAGGTGGGAGGGAAGGGCCCTTCGGGAACGAACAGCCGCCGACGGCGTTTTTGAAACAGAAACTCAACCTTGCCCTTGAAATTAGGGCGCCGCTTTCCCCTCAGAGCCCAAAGTTCGGCTTCGGAACAGGCCAGAGGGGCCCGGGGCCCGTCCTTCCCCCCGAGCAGCCGGCCCTTCGGACCCACCGCAGATCCCCGGAGGAGCTTTCGCCTTCCGGGCTCTTCTGGCGCCGGCAGGGCCGAGCTGAGGCAAACGGCCAGCTGACTTTCCCACCCGACCGACCGACCCCCTGGGAGAACAGGCAAGGCCGGGCCGGGCCTCAGCCTGGGGCCGCCCTCCGCAGCTTGACGACGGCGGTCTCGCTGGCCGACCCGGGGCCGAAGCCGCGTCTCTGCGCCCACCGCCGGAGGGCTCGGCCAGCCTCGCTCCTCGGCCGGAGAAGAGACGGAGGCCGCGCGGCCACAGCGGCCCCGAGTTGGGCCCGGACAGGCTGAGGGGAGGCGGCCTTCCCGGAGGCGTCTAAGAGGCTCCGCCGCCGCTTCCCTTGGAGCCGAGAAGGCAGCGAGCCTGGTCCGCGCGGGGCGGGGCGGGGCGGGGCGAGCGCCCTTCGTCTGCCGCGCGGGGCGGCGGAGCGGCTCACTTGGTCCGAGGAGGCGCCGCGCCCGGCCGTGGCGGAGGCTGCGGGGAGCGGCCGAGATGCTGCGCTACAGGTCGGGGCTGACGGTGACCCACACCAAGCCGAGGCAGCCGCAGAGCAAGCGGAAGGTGAGCGGGCGGCCTCCTTGCCCGGAGAAGCGGCCGGGGCCCTCGCGGAGGAAACGCTTCCAGACCGGCCGCCCCAGCCAAACTTCGCGACGGGCAAAGAGGCGCCTCCGCAGCCGCGGCTCCTGCCTGCCCGGTGGGCCCACGCCTGCCTTTCCCCGAGGGGCTCCCGGACCGGTTGCTGGCCCGCCGCCCGCCTTCGTCCGCAGGGCCGGCGAGCGTTTCGCCGTCTTCCCGGCGAGGCTTGGCCCGGCTGGGCTCCGGTGAAGACGGAGGCTCCGGGGGCGGCCAGAGGGCAGAAAAGCCCCGCCGTCTTCCGGCGGCGCGGGCCCGGCAGCGGCTCCCCAGAGCCTGGCGGTGGAGGCAGACCAGGACGGGCCGCGCCGAAAGTCGGTGGCGGCTTTGGGAGGAGGGTCCGGCAAGGGAGGCCTCGGCTGGCTGCCCTTGCCCGAGTCGATGCAAGGCTGGCTGTGCCTGCTCCGGGGGAGGCTTGTCTCCGTCTGTGGGGCTGCCCTGCGATGGCGGCGCTTGTTGCCACCTTTCCCCTATCAAAGCGTCGCTCGGAAGTTCCCTTTTAGTGCACCAAAACCAGCGAGTGAAAAAAGAACCGGTGGTTTTAGTGCGTTATTTATGTCACCTGTAAACATTGTGAACCTGCCCGGTGCCCCGAATGTATTCTCTGTTTATGTTCCCTTGGAAGACAGTGAGCTGCTGCCATCGGCTTCCTCCTCTTTTTATTTATAAAACTTCCCATGCTACTTATTCCATAAGAGCATTCCATAGGAAATTGAAGCTAAACGAGGTGAGTTTTGAAGAAAATGCCTGGGCAGAGACAGGCCCTGCCCTTCGACAGCATGTGGTCATTTCTGAGTTGAGCTGCCCTTCCTTCCCCTTGGCTGCTTACCTGCCCCAAATCGAAGGGAGCAGCTTGTCTTCCTCTTTGAAAAGAGAGAGGAAGATTGTAAGCGGAGTCTTACAGAGTGGTCAGTCCCTGACTCCGTGGCCTCTTCCCCAGACCCCCAAAACTTTAATCTTAGACTGTCTACTGTTGACCTCACCCCATTCCTAAGAGGTCTGTAGGGGGCGTGCATCAGAGCACCAGCGTCCCCCGTTATTTGTACCCATTTCATGTGCTCTTAATCATGTTTCCAATTATATCTGTTATCACATGCTTGAATAAATAAATAAATAAATAAATAAATAAATAAATAAATAAATAAATAAATAAATAAATAAATAAATAAATAAAATAATAATAAAATAAAATAAAATAAATAAATAAATAATCTTTGCTGTCCTCCAGGCAAACATCTGTCGGCTGCGCTTAACTCTGCCCCCGGAAGAAAACTGGCCTCCTTGGGGAGGGACAAATACTGCTGAGAAGACCCCAAAGGTGAGATAGTGAAGTGCAGGAATTCACAGGATACCCTTTGATTTGTGCCCCCCCTCCCCATTTTGGACCTGCATTTCTCCAAGTGGGCAAATCCTGCCACAGAAACACTCTCACTTCTTTGGGTGGGATATGGCATGGAAATTTCCTTTATCCTTCGGGGAGAAATCCAGCCAAAGATGTTCAGTGCTTTTTTTTTGTTTAATTTAAGACAGATGGTTTGGTTTTGAAGGAAAAGTTGTTGCCGGATCTTAATTTTGAAAATGTTCATAATGTAGATTACGACCTGATTAGGAGATGATTTCAGAGTTCCTTCCTCCCTTCCCAACTTGAGGGACCCTTTGGGGTTATCACCACAGGGAGATGGGTTGGCTGAGAGGGGGGTGGGGGTGGATGTTTGGACCTTTTATGGAAGTCTCCTTCTGGCTGGACATTATTTAGTTCTTCCCCTTGCATGGTTTTCCTGACTTAATTGCTGTTTGTACTGTTGGGAGAAAATGCCCATAATGATAGGCTTACATTGGAGAAAGAGTCTGAGAGAAGGGGTTCCTAGACTCCTGTGGGGGTGGGTGCGGGGGAGCACAGGCACCCCGCTAGTGCAAAGAGGAGCTTTCAAGGCACACATCGCTGCGCCAGGCCAAAGTCAGAGTTCTAACAGCTTTATTATCACCACACCCATGGCTTTGTGAGGTCACGGGACCATCCCTGCGCTCTGAGATTGGCGCCAGTCAGACTTTTGCAACACAGCTGCAATCCGCCCTCTGAGGGACAATGCTGGCTGGCCAGGGTGGGGCTCCAGGGACAACACTAAACTGGCCAGCAAGCAGCTTCTCTAATTCCTGGGCCCTGAGCAGCCATTACTCCTCCCTTGTGGCCTGGCTGGAGGGGTGATGTGAGAGAGATGGGGGTGGAGGGGCTGCTCTGCAGATCCAGCCAGAGGAGCCACCTCGGCCATAAAAGTCAGAGCTTGCTGGGCCAACAAAGAACCCCCACCCTCCTCTTCCTGCTGGAAATGACCTGGGCATTGCACAGCCAAAGGGGCCAAAGGTTTCTGAAAATCTGGTTAGATCACTCTGGAGGCTGCTCTCCGGATCCTGATGTGCTAATCTGCCTTCACGCAGGAAAAAATGGGGGTGGCTGTCCTGTAGTGAGAAGGGAAAGAGCAAGGGAGGAGCAAATGCTGGGGCAGGAATGGCAAGGCCCAGGCCCCTTCTGGCCAACCTCTGTGAGGCCTTCAGCTGCTCACCTGGCCAAGAAGACCTTCGAATCCACCAGGGGCTGCAGGAAAGTTTTGCTTCTCCAGCTAACACCTTCCTGTTGACCTGAGAAGCAACTGCCCTCTTGAACTGCAGCAAATGGGATGAACTTGCCTGGGAATACTGTTCATTTTTTAATGTGACTGGAAATAGTAAGCATCTTTCCCTTTCTCTTCTTAACATGTAGCATTTGGAGAAGGGAGTCAGGGTAACTGAACTAACAAATGTAGATTTTATTAAATACCTGCAGCACAATTTATACTATTAATCTGATGTTTTACAGTCCTACAGTGAGAAGGATTCAGAGATGGTTGTATAAACTCAAATCCTACATCAAAATTATGTACTGGATTTGTTGGTTTGTTTTATTCATCCAGGCCTGGGTTGTGTGTAACTTTACAAATATAATGATTTGCCCCTAGAAGGAACCCCAAAACCCACATCACCTCATCAGCCTCAATACTTTTTAAAAAGCAGGACATCTAGAGGATTATCACCCCTGGCCATAGGGGTCACTGGGAAACCACTTTAAATGGCTCTGGCGCTGTTGGGATTAGAGAGGAATCCTATGGATACTGCTCAGAAATACACACCATCGTGTTCAAGAAGGGCTCCTCTTAGGTCATTGTGTGTTGGATTGCAGATAATTAGAGTCTCCAGATTTAATTAGATTTGTTTCTTTGTAAAGTTAAGTTTTGTGTAAGCATATAACTCATTGCTGAACTATGAGAGGCTATCTTGAGTGGGAAGAATGTAATACTTTGAGCAGTGCCAGGACTCCCCGTTCTGTACCTATTCTTCAGAAGAGCACCCACTTCTGAACTGGTTATTCCTAGCTCCAGTCACTTCATTCCTTAGTGCCAGAGAGGAGCTTTCACCTATGAACAAGAGTATAGTCAAGTGTTGGATAGGAAACCAAATAAAACTATCCAGGAAATGAAAAATCGTTTTTGCATCTGGCACTCCACCCAGGACACGCCTTCCTCCCCACCTTTTGTCTAAACAAAACAATGTATTTTGCATGATAATTCTGATAATTCTGAATGCCATCAGGCAACGAGGTGACTATGCCTATGTGTTGTAACAGAGTAGCTTATGTTGATGTTTTAGACAATTAAAACTGGATCTCAAATGCTCTCTGGGCACTAAAGGCAACTCCCACAGGAGTTTCTGGGAGGGCAGAGAAGCAGAATCGGAAAGGAATTTTAAATTGCAGGGGCCCCCTCCTCTGTATGCATGCTTGCAATAAGATCGTTTTAATAAAATAAGTATAGATTTTCCCTTCTTGAGGAAGACAAATTAGTTTTAAAGGTAGCCGCTGAATTAATTCTCTAGAACTGTTTTGTGTCTTCTGTGCCTGATCAAAGAGTTCATAACTTGGCTCAAGTGACAGCTACCGCTAACCGATGCTGTGGTTCCCTCTGGAAACGTGGAAGGTACTCAGACAGGAACGTAGGAAGGTCCGGCTGAAGGCCCGTCTAGGCCAGCCCCAGAGGGTCGCCAAGCGTTGCCCAGGGAGGCGGGCAGAGAGAAGCCCTTCCGTCCGGCTGCCCCCCAGCAATGCCTTAGAGAATTCTGCCCTGCCCTGAGGACCGGCCTTGCTGGCCCAGGCTCCGTTTGGCCTCAGGGGATGTTAGTGCTGGGCCACCCTTTGATGTTCGGAGCAGTTTTAGGAAAGAGCACATTCTGGTAATAATTACTTGGTTGTTTAAAAAGTTTCGTCCTTTTATCTTGAAGAGCATTATGAAATTAAAGGTAGGTTAGAAAAAGTCACACAATAGCGTGTTACTTTCCCTTTTCTTTACATTTATAACTTTTGAATATACTCCGACAGCAACTCTACCAAGCGCCTGGGGGATTGTCTGCTGGGGACTTAAAGCACGGTGTTGTGTACGGTGTGGTGCACCGGTCTGATGACAACCACAACAAAGAAATGGTGGTTTATGGATGGTCAGCTCACCAACTGAAAGAAGAAATGAGATATATACGAGATGTGAGTCCCATTTTTATACAGTGTTCTTGCAGGAAAGGAAAGATTTTGATTGGCAGCTGCTCCCTTCCCCATCCTTCTGTCCCCGAAGCAAAAGTTTATCTCCTTCTCAATCCAGCAGTTTTCTGGTGGCTTCTTTCCTTCCCATGGCTGGATCAGGACCATTCACTCCATTAGTCGGTGCACTCAGTTCTGGTTTCTATCTGAACAAAATTGTGAAATGAAGTCAACTTATTGTCTGGAATATAATTTGCACATCTTTAAATTTGGGTTCCTGGTGTACGTATCACTGACCCGGTGGCCCCGTAGCTCTGGCCACATCACTTGTGAGTCTGCAGGAGGGTCACAAAGGAGAGAGGAATACAGGGAGGGGCCTCAGGTCCCATTAGGTTTGGCCCAGGCCTGTCTGTTGGCAAATCTCAGAGGGCAGCAGGGATGCATTTTGCCCCATCTCCCCCCGAGGCTCTGCAGGGGCTGGATGCGGGGCAAGCCCCTCTCGAAGCAAGCATCCTCCGTCCACACGTGGAGGGGCCCCGGGCATCCTTCTGGTCTGCCCCCTCAGACTCCGGAACAGAATGGAGCCCCAAAGCCCCAAGAGGGGCAAGGCAGGTGGGGAGCATCTCTTATTCAGGTATAAGCTTCCCTCCTCTCTAAGGCAGTGGGACGAGAGTGGAGGTGCTACCTGGCTCTGTGAATGGGGGGGGAGCCCCGGGATGAGGCTCCTGGGCTTAGCTGAGGAACCACATTTTAAGTCTGACATGATACCTGCCTCAGATCCCGAGTACGAGAAAGGAACAGCCAGGATTTTCTTAAATTGTTTGGTTTCGTTACTTTTATAAACATTTGACTCTTTAGACTCTGAAAATTACTATTTACCAGGCATGGAGAACAATTTTATGTATTGTAACCTTTCTGTTCCAGGTGAGATTAACATTGGAAAGAGTAAGAAACAAAATGTATGGCGAATACGATGAAATGAAACGCAAAATCCACGAGCTCTCAAGTGAGCTGACAGTAAGTACAGTGGCGGCTGAGCAGCGAACTTCTTCCTCTCCGCTTTTGGCACTGCTTTGTCCGTGTTGGGGCCTGACGCTCCGGCTTCATTTCTTACCAAACTCTGGTGCTTTCTGAGCGTGGTTGGAAGCCTCCGCAGCTGCAGCCGGCTCATCCCTGCGAAGGTGGTCTTTCTCATATCCCTTTCTCAAGAGACTCTCCTGCACTGGCCTAGATCCACACGTGTTTTACGGAGCAATTTATTAATATGTGTTTATGGAAAGTATGGGTCGCCTTTGTTGCACCATCCTTTACACTCCGATGGCTTTGGCATGTGCCCGTTCAGGGTGGGGGACCCCTTCTTCGGTAGCCTGGCACAGCCTGGCCTGGCTTGCAGATTTCTGCTTCGCTTACTTTCAAGCCGCATTACTTTTCTTTGAAATGCCAAGGAGACACTTCTGTTCCAAATCTCCAATATGGAGCTCGAGAACTGGTGTAAGCTCACATATTTTTTGTTAGTCTTTTTCCTGAAGTCCACCTGGCGGTTAGGATTTGAATCTTTTCTTCAGTGTCTCTTGAAAGGGAATATTTTATTTGGCTATATGGAGCTGCTTCTTGTCTCTGCCGCATGTTGGTGGACTGCCACGGATGGTCAGCAGCAGCAGCAGCTCTTTGGGGAGTTAGTGAGCATCTCTGGGTTCAGCAGTTGGCCAGGAGGAGGATGGCATGACTTTTTTTGCCAAAACAGGCTCCAGCCTTACTTCCCCGCCAGCAGTTTGTTGCTCTGGCAAATGTATCGAGCTTGCTTTTCCTTTTATGGGCTTCCAATAAAAGTCATTGGATGAGGGTGTCGATTCCAAAGCAAGCCTCCCTATTGGCCCTGGGCGATTCCTGAAACTCAAGCCTGGCATTACTTCTGCAGGTGTCACAGGCTGAGCAGGCATCCCTAGAAAACCACATCCAGGTGCACGCGGCAGCCCTGGAGAGTTTCCGCGAAATGAGCAGTTCGCTCACCTCAGCATCCATTGAGCTGCAGGTAAGTTGCTGATAAAGCTCCCCCCCCCAAGCTCCTCCCCCACCCTGCTGGGTCAGCCTTTGGAGGGCAGGGCCTGATCCGCAGCCCCGTCGGTAGAGGGAATGGTTTGAATCTGAAATTCAGCACGCTGAAAGTTGGCTTCGTTGCTCCATAAGAAGTGGCTTTGCTTATTGCGCTGAAGATTCCTAGGCTTTATTCACAGTACTAATCCAAAGACATGGTGTTGATTTATTAATTTAATTAACTCACAGGTTTTATTTTCTAGCGCTTGGAAATTAGCAAGATCAATGTGCTATATTTAAACATGTGGCAGAATTGGCCGTAATTTTTTTTAAAATTTTATACATCTTTTCACGTGAGCAACATGTTTCCAGGTTATAACACTTGTACATAGTCATATTTTCATTTCCATTAATCTTATATAATATTAACTCATATCATTATCCATTTCACTCATCTTTAAATAAATTTGTATTTCATATTTCAGTTCATTAATTCAATATCAATATCATTTCATCCATACATAAGTTTTCAAATCTTTATCCCCTATTATTTCCATTTTCAGCTTACCACCTATTTTATTTTACATTACACATCATTATTAACCTTAGTTTTCTCTAAGCCGATATGTAATAAACAATCTAAGAAGAGTTAAAATATAGACAAAACCAATAAATTTAGGATCCACGTGGTATTTCCCAATCCCCTACTTTAATCATAATAGAATATTCTCATTATACAATTCTAATATCCATTAAATAATCAACTGTATATATATTCAACTGTATATATCCCCTCCAATAAATCACTAAAATAACTTCTTAATATCTCTCATTTTATCTTCACTTTACTTATAATCATTGATAATCGTATCTTTTTAAAATTCATTTCCATAGCCTTGTTTTGATCCTCCAAAAAAGAAAAGGGTTCATAACAACACATTTTATATACAGTTAATATTCATATATACACGTAATTATACATTCCTAATATATTTCCCTACAAGTTTTAAATTAAACACCAATATATGTTCTATGTGGTATCTCCCTTATAGAATCCCTAACCCTTATCTCTAAATTTTTCAGCTTTATTATTTATTTTAATTTTAGCCAACTTTCTCCTTTCTAAATTTCCCTGGTCTTCCTTCTTTCCTTCTAACATTTCACCCATCTTTTCTCCCCCGCTTTCCTGTTCTCTTTTTTGAAGTTTCTTCTTGTATAATTTCTTCTTTTGTTTAATCCTGGGACTGTTTTCTCTTTTATTTATTAAGTCAGTCATCAATATCATAGTTTTAATTCCTTCAGTGTCTTTTGGCAATGTCTCTTGTTCTCCATGTCTGTCTGAGCCTCTTTCTTCTTCCTTTGACTCTGCCTCACTGGAATTTCTTCGTTCTTCAACCATCGCCATTATTTTCTTTTCCAATATTTCCAATAATTCCCTTCTTTACCTCAGCATTCCTCTTACAATTTGCAATTCCAACTTAAAGTCTTTGCTTATTTCTTCCATTTTTATAATAAATTATTAATATTCAAGTCTTTTGTTGCAATCCTTGCCAAAAGTCTTTTATCTTTATTTCTTTTGTTAATCCTTCTATCTCTTTGTCACAATCAACAGTCCCAGAAAATTGTATTTGTATATCCTCTTGGTAAAATTACTCCCCCTTTTTCCAAAATTTCCAGGGTTCTTATTATTTTATTTGTCTTTTCTTTCATAACAGTTATAGGTCCAGTAATTTTCCATATAATTTTGTAGGAAAAAGAGTATTTGACCATTAGATGGCGCTCTGTATCACTTTTCACTTTTTAAAGTTCTTTTCTCTTTTAGTTATATTAAACGATAATTTCCAACCATTTCCACAATTAATTTTCTTAATATTGACCAATTCCAGGCAAGTCCAGCATTTAATCCAATGCCTAATTAATGCCAATTTATATCATTCAAAGTTTAGTCTCTAGTTTCATTGTAGCTTTTTATGAACCAATTTTGTTTACCTTGTATTTTCCTCTTTTTTTTCTGTTCGCCTCTGTGTTACTCTTATGCGAGGACACTTTCTTTCTACTTCTTGGGGTTATTACAAAAAAAATATATTAAGTTCTTTTATCTGGTTGCACGTTGCTCACCACTTCACCGCTCCAGCACAAAACTTAAATCCCGGCAGCTTTCCGTCTTCAGGGCAGCCATTTTAGGCTGCCGTTTCTCCCTGTCTTCCAGGGGAGTAATACTTGGCCAGGGAGGGGAGATGCAGCTCCCCTCAACCCAGCTGGTGATTTCCCCCTCTTTGCCCACGCCTCCAAGGTGGGTCAGGATGATACCGGTCCCATAGGGACCCTTCCAACAAGGGAAACACAGACCTGAGCCGTGCATGATCGTGGTCTCTGATCATCGTCAACGGAAGCGCCACCGGAAGTCCACAATTGGCCATAAATTTGAGAGTATGTTTTAGTATGGCAGGACACAAACATAATAAACAGAAAATGTACAAGGTGGGTGTTTATTTATTTATTCGGTTTGCATACCAGCCAGCTCCCAGCGAATGTGATGTACTCCGTTACTTTCCTTCCCTCCGGTCACACAATCCCGTTTCAAGGCTTAATGATGTTTCCTGGGTCATTCACCACTCAGAATCCCCTGGAGTTAGTCAGTTAATATTAATAAGTCAGTAATTCCTGGATGGAAGCTAGAAGATGATTTGCTACCTTCTTCCAACATAACATGCATTTTGCACATTTCCTAAGAAACCCAGAAATGTAAGTTAGTTCTTTTCAATTCTTGCCCAAAAGTGTATTTGAAAAAAAAAAAAGACGAATCCTAATTTTTGTCAAGCAGTTGTGAATAAATTTTATGTTTTATTGCACACGTTTTCAGAAAACCTTAGTTGATGTTACTTTGGAGAATACAGTTATACGTGACCAGATACATAACCTGAAACAAACTCACGAACAATCCATGGAAAAGCTGAAGAAAAAGCAGAAGGAACTGGAAACTGCTAAGGTGGAAAATGAATTGCTCCGTCTCAAGGTGAGTGGCGGGAATATCTGCCCTGGACGGCGGTTCCCAGGATACCCGTCCAAAACCATTGACTGGCTGGAAACGTTTTGGCCCAGAGGCAAAGAGGCATGATCAGGCAAGACCTAAGCTCCAAACTTTCCCCCATTCCTGCTTCCAGTGCCATTT